CTGTTAGGTTGGTGCAGAAGTAACTGTGTTTTGCATTGAAATGGCACCAACCTAAGAGCTAGCTCTAACTAGCTGAATGTCTTCTGTCTTTCAACATCACACCAGCTGTATTAGCAAAGAGATAACTAAACATTGGGTAATTTCACTTCATGCTAACCACTATAAATTGGTTCAGTTGATTCTGTGTGTGTGTGTGTGTGTAGACTCATGTATAGTTTCTACGATGCTTGCTTCAAAACCTGCAAATGTGTTTTTTGTTTTGTCTTTTCCTTTTTGAGACAGGGTCTCACTCTGTCACCCAGGCTGAAGTGTGATCATGGCTCACTGCAGCTTTGACCTCCAGGGCTCAAGCGATCCTCCCGCCTCAGCTTCCCAAGTAGCTGGGACTACAGGCATGCACCATCATGCTTGGCTAATTTTTAAATTTTTTTTGCAGAGATGGAGTCTTGCTGTGTTTCCCAGGCTGGCTTTGAATTCCTGGGCTCGAGTGATCCTCCCACCTCAGTCCCCCAAAGTGCTGGGATTACAGGTGTGAGCCACTGTGTTTGGCCAAAACCTGCAAACCATGTTAAATCTATGTTGTGTTCCTTTCAGAAGAGATATCTAATATTAACTTGTGTTATACAAAATCTAAAACACAGGCTTTCAATATTTTTTTTAACAGTATATAACAGAATTGGCAAATGCCCTGTCTTACTGTCATTCGAAGAGAGTTATTCATAGAGACATTAAGCCAGAGAACTTACTTCTTGGATCAGCTGGGGAGCTTAAAATTGCAGATTTTGGGTGGTCAGTACATGCTCCATCTTCCAGGTATGTAACTTTAGAGGTGGAAGTTGTTTGGTTTACCAAAGCCCTGGGAGCTAATCATGAGCCAAATATAAAATATTTTAGTGTAGATTTTGTGCTATAAGAGGGGTAGGTAGCTAACCCAGAAGTACCTTGGAGTAATTTAGGCTTAATAATAAACTAGGGTTTGCAAGAAAATTTTATTCTGTGGTGATTTGGGGCTATTAACAGTGTTCTAGGCCTAGGGTTAAAGATGCTTAATGTCCTTAGAGGCTAATGAGGGGATGAATGAGTCAACAGATAGGACAAGTATATGACAGAGGTGACGTGCCCATGTGTTGAGGGGGAGGAACTCTTCACCTCTGCTGCTTCCTGGATGAGGAGATGGGGAGATGTTCCAGAGGACAGCACCGACAAAGGTCTAGTGCTCAGACTGCAGGTCATATCAGGGAACTTGAAACACTAAATTAGTTTGGTGGAGCTTTGAGGGCAGTGGTGAGAGATTCTCTTTGGTCTGCCTCTGTCAATAGTAGGGATAGTCCTTTCTTGTCCCCTGTCACAGCTGAAACAGAGATGTCAATCTCAAAACAATTCAAATCTTAAAGAGCTTTCCACATGAACTACAATATCTTTACTGTTTTAAATTTGAGTTTAAATAAGCTTTGAAACTTCACGTGAAGTGGGGCATTTTAAAACATACATCTACCGATCAAGGTTTGTCAACTTTGGAGGATTCAAATTATAGCCAGATGACTTAAAAATCAAGCTAGTTAAAAAAAAAAGTATAGCCTAAAACAGATTATATGTGAGGGAGAAATCCTTTGCTTTTGTTACAGAGCACTTCTAACTGTTCCCAGCAATGCATTGAATCTGCTATTGCAGTCTTTTTTTTTTAAAAAACTGGTTGTCATTAGTGGGAGCTGTTATCTGGTAAGACAAACCAGAATAAAGAATTATAAGCTTCATGGAATTGCAGAGTTAAACTATTTTAACCGGTTGAATTGTGATAGAAAAGATGGCTTCTTGCTTTTTGAAAAGATTACTTACATAACCGATAGTCACTTCACTCCGAATCCCAGATGTTAATCATCATCATTTCCTGGTTATTGCCTCAGTTTGAGAACCCCCGATTCAGTCCGTTGGTGGTGATGGAGGGGTTAGATGACCAAAGTGGTAGCTTCTTAATCCTACATCACAATTCAGTGGTGACTGTGTGCTCAGTGGGTGCCAGGCCTGGCTGAACACAGCACCAGGGCTGTGACAGCGTAAGCATCTATGGTGAAGAGGAGCTGGTGACAAAGCAATACGAAACCACACGTACTGTTCTGGCTTGGTGTCTGCTGTCCCCAGCTTTTTTCCAACCTTCATTACAAAAACCTAAACCAACAGAAATGCGGAATTGGTAGTTTGGCCTA